CCTGTCCCACGTGCTATTCTAGAACTTTGTCACCACCCCACGGAGTGGTATCTAATTCCACTCCGCTTGAATACGGGCTGGCTTGTGACTTACTTCTAACCTAAATGACTTCTGAAGCTGGATCAGAAAGGGCAAAGCAGCTTCCCCCTGGTCCCCTGGAAGCTTGCTCCTGGAGCTCTGAGTCACCAGCTCAGAATCTAAGCACCATGAAGCTGCCATGCGGTGGAAAAGCCCAGGCCCCAGAGGGGGTGCAACAGGGGGTAGCCCCTGCTACCTCCTCCCCATGCCCACCATGATTCCAGCCCCCAACCAGCCTGGAGCAGAGACAGGTCACCCCTACTATGCCATATCTGATTTCCTAACCCATAGGATATATAAGCATAATCAGACAATTGTTTGAAGCCACTAAGCTTTGAAGTAGTTACAGAGCAACAGTAACCAGAACAATCTTTATTAACTTATCTGTCTTTTTCCACTAAAATGTACATGAGGAGAGGACCTCATGTATCTTGATCCTTCCTGTGTCCACAAAGTCCTTCATCCCGTAGGTACTCAATAATGAATAGCTGAGTAAGTAGAAGCAGCTGAATTTGGAAATACCTATCTTTCATGGTTGCTGATTGATTGATTAATTGATTAATTACATAGTTATAGTTATTATAGGCCTACTATGTGACAAGGAAGTCACATACGGCGGGGCATCCCATTGTTCCCATGAAATCCTATCACACACAACACTGGTGATGACCACAGGGGAAATAGAAGTCCCCCCTTCTCCCCTCCCTTCCCCCAGTAGCAGTCTGAAGAGCCGACCGGACTGTGAAAAGTCAGAGGTTGCCAAATCCGCCCAGCCCACATCTGGGGGTGTATTTAATTATCCCCGGGTGCAGCTGTTTTTACATTGACAGCTCAGTCACTTGTGCCCTGGCCTCTCACTAGGCAAGCGGGTGACTCCAGACAGGGACCATGTGGTGGGAAGGCTGCCAAGGTCCTGCACATCTGGCCCCTTCCCGGGGGGTACCTCCCCAACAGCTGTCTCCTTCCTTTTGGATTGCTCCCTCCCCTGGCCTAGGCTTTCAAGCTCTAGAAGTAATCTTGGCAGGGGTGCAGTAGGCCGGGTGGGAGGCTGGAGGGATGCACCTCTCGGTTTAACTACTTAGGCCCCAAAGTACCTGCCAAGAACCAGTTAGCATGTCTGGCTGGCAGGCCAGGCCGTCATTAATTCATTAAAGCAAGCTGTGCCGGCCCATTATCTCCCTGTTGCTGACCAGTCGCGCCTCCTGGGCCTGCAGAGTCTTCTTCCTCCCCTTCTTCTTCCCCCTTCTTCTTCGTCCCAAGGTGAGATCTGCACACTGTGGGCCCCTTCTCACAGCCAGATTCCCTGGCTGTACTCTCTCCCTCCCTGCCCCCTCCCAAGGCACAGTTCTCCCTGCCTCCCAGCCTCCACCAGCCAGTGCTCACCAGAAAGCATCTTTGTTCCCTCTCTCCCATCTTTGCCGCGCAGTGACTGGTTAAATCCCACCCATCTTCCTCTTGGCCTCCCCCAGCCTCCAAGGAGCCTCCCCTGAGGCTCTAGCAGGAAGGGAATCTCTCTAGTGCAGGAATTCATAGCTCATAGCCCCCTCTGCTTGCTGCCTGGTGTCTTTTCCTCCCTTGCCCCCCACCCCAAGTCATCTGGGGGGCCGTGTGCTCAAAAACAGAAACTCCAATTCCATTTCTGATGTTGCCACCAGTCCTTTGGGACTCCAGGGAACCCTCTCTGCCTCCGTTTCCCCTTTGAAATAATAGGAATGGCATTACCCATTTCAGAACATCCTCTGATGAGTGAACTAAGTGCCAGGCACTGCACTGGGCACTTTAAATGGATGCTCTCCCATCAGACTTCCAACAGTCCTAGAAGAGGTACAGCTCCAGTTTAGGCTCAGAAAGGTTACGGTTCTTACCGAAGGTCACACTGCCAGCAAGTTCCTGGGCTGGGACTTAAATCCAGTTCCATCTGATCCCTAAACCCATGCTTTTTACCACTGGACTGTCCTGGCCCATCTGGCCTTGATTCCCCAAGAGGTCACACAGGGATGGTGGGGAATTGCCTCCTAACAAAGGCAGAGTGTTGTCTGCTTTGGGAAAGAAATATATTAAGTGCACAATCATAAGCATGGGAGCTCACATTTAAATACTTCTTATGCATCTGGCACTGTCGTAGAACTCTCTAGATGTGAATGCATTTCACCCTCTTAACAGCACTTTTGCCATTAAGTACTATTATTGCCCCCATTTTAAATATGGGGAAAACTGAGTCTCGCATGTGTTTGTTTATTTAAGGATGACTTCTGAAAGAAGTATTGCTGCCTCACAGTGGAGGCTCAAAACCAGTCTGTTGACACTGTTGCCCTGCCTATAGTCAAGTTCACCCTAAACACCTAAGAGAATTGCCTGCCCAATAGGGCTGGCTCATGCCTCCCTGAAATACATAAGGTATCCTCTGAGCACTCCCACTTCCCCACGGTAGGAAAAGTGGAGAGGACCACACACGGAACTCAACACACTGTCTTCCTCCAGTGGATTTTCCTTCTTTCCCGTCTTCCTAACTTAGCAGAGAGGCTGGGAAAAGACGGGTTTCCCCCAATTAAGTCAAACGCAAAGCCCGAGCTGCAGGCAGGAGGTGGCTGCAGGCAGGAGGTGGCGGCCGGAGATCTTGAGGTCTGGGACAGGCAGGGAGGCGGGGAGCCCAAGCCTGGTGAAGCCCAGGGCGGGAGCGCAGGAATCGCGCGGTACATAACTCCACGCGTGTCCCGGGGGAGGGAGGCGCGGCGCTGCAGGAAAGCTGAGCCGGGCATTCGGGGGTTAGGGCACGCGAGGAGGGAGCACCCGGGAGGGTGTGGCTGCAGGGGACGCAGGCGGGGCCCCGCCGGAGGTAGAACAACCCGGGAGTGGCCTGGGGTCGAGAGGCAGCCGGGAACTCTGGGGCAGAAGCAAAGTGAGGAGGGAGCAATAAAGTGTAGGGCGCCGACGATCTGCAGTAGCGACACTGCTGTCGGAGCCCTCCCCTGCCGCGTGGGACCCCGGCTCCCAGCTCCTCCCGCGCCCCGGGTGCAGAGGGGCGCCCCCGGTCCTCCCGCGCGCGGCCCCGGAGCACCCGGAGCCCCGACGCGCACAGGTCTGTTCTACCCCGGGGTGGGCGCCCGGCCTCGCGTGCACCGCCCTGTCTGTCCTGGGAAGGGAGCGCCCTCCCAGCCTCCCTGCACCCCGAGACCGCGGCAGGCCTTGCCCTCGCCGTCCTCCTGGGTGCCTCTCGCTCGCATCTTGCTTCTAATTCACATCCCCACTATCTTGCGACTTGTCCTGTCTCTTCTTCTCCAGGTGCTCCGTCTTCCTTTCCTGGTCTCACTGTCCGCTTTTTCTTTCCCTCTCCTTCCACTTTCTTTCCGCCTCCCCTTAAATTCCAGGCTGTGGGCTTCGCGTCTCCCGCTCGACTCCCTGTTTCTGCTCCTCCCTCCGCCCCCCCCCCGCCCAACGCCCCGTCCAAAATGTTGTTCCTGCCCCTGGGATCCTGTCCCAGCCCCAGCCGGGTCCCCTCCGGCCAAGGGCAGCCCCTCTCCCCGGACGGGGAGTAGCGGATGGGACCTCCGGGAGGGAGCCGGGCAGAGAGCGCCCCGAAGCACGCACCTCTCTTCGCCAGCGCCCGAGCTGCGCCGGCCCACGCGACATCTGTCGCCCGCGCTCCCGGCTCACACCCCGCGCACCCCCGCAGCTCCCCGGGCGCTGCCACCCCCCACGCTCCGGCTGCCGCCTCTCCCCGCGGGCGCCGCGCCAGCTTCTCAGGGTGTCGGTGCACGGCGCGGCTCGGCCCCGGGGCCGAGCGCTCGGCATCTGTGGGTGGGGGCACCCTGGGGCCGTGGCTTTCTCACCTTCGACCTCCACCTTCCAGCCCTAGACCCACCTGTGGTGAGCTCAGGCTGATTTTCTCTCCTTCTCATTCTCTGCCGCTCTGCTCTGTTCCAGAATCTGAGAAGACAATCCCTTACACGTTTGCTCCCCTAGGCGCACAGCTGGTGCTCAATAATTCCCCAACCCCAAGGGCCCAGTGCTCCGAGGATGCTCAGTACCGTTCTCCCACTGGGACCAAACACAGTGGGTGCTCAATCCTGACTCTCCACGCCCACCAGCACGCAGCGCCCAGCATACCGCAAGCTTTCAAACATTCCGTCCCTGAACACTGACGGCCTAGCACCCAGAAGGAGCTCGATAAATGCTCTCTTATAAAGCCTCCCCCTTGGGGCTTCCCTAACAGCCTCAGGTCTCAGCCCACTTTGGGGGCACCTCCTTCTCCATCTCAGTTCCAACCTTCCGGTGGAGAGGAGGCCCAGCTCCAGAAACGGGACACCTCGTTGCAGAAGGAGTGAAGAAGTTGGCAAAGCGGAGGAAAACTGTAAAGTGCGCGGGCCGTGGGGGAAAGACGGCTCCGGCGGAACCCTGGAAATCCAGAGAGGCACTCGGGGAGACGCGGGGACAGAGGGACGAGGGAGGTGCCGCTAAAGAAGTGGGTTCGGAGCCTGTGGCGACTTAGGAGCTGCAGATGGCTCGCAAGAGGACGGGGGGCGGGGGGGGGGGAACTTGCCTCGAATCCGCGATGGATGATAATTCTTTGGCTTGGCTTGTAACTGCGTCCTCACTGCAAACACACTTTTTACTCGCAGTGCGTGTTTACTTGGGGATGATGGAGGCTAAAGTTCCCCCGCCCGCCCCAAAGCCATCCCGCTGGAGAGAGTGGCAAGAGGCGCTCAAGGAGTGGAGAGAAGAGGCCCGAAACCGCGGACCTGGCCCTCAGAAGGAGCGATGGGACCCGGACGGGAAGGGGCCGGCGATCCCGGCGCGAGAAGGGAGCAGAGGGGCACGGAGACGCGAAGAGAAGAAAGCAAAGGCGTCCGCCGCCCTCGCGCCCCCAGGCCGCGCGGCGTGCCCAGCCCCCGGCCCCGCGCGCCCGGCGCCCGCTCGCGTACCTGTTGCTCTCTCCGGCTGGGTGTCGGCTCCGGCCCCACCAAGAAGCCCCGCGTTCCTACAAGTTCCGCCTGCCGAGCAGCCAGGCCGCCAGCGCCGCCACCTGCGCGGCCGCGCACAGCCAGGGCCAGTAGGTGGGGAGCGCGCGGGGCGCTGGCGCCCTCCGGCTCCGCGCGCGGCGCCGCCACATGGTGCGCTGGTGCAGCTCGTCGCCGAGCGCCTTGAGCCGAGCGGCCGTGAGCTGCGCGGCGGACGAGCGCAGAGCCAGGCGGCCCGCGCTGCAGGCGCACACGGCCGGGGGCCCGCGGCCGCGGTGCAGGGGGCACGGGCACATGACCGCTCGCCTCGCTCCCTCCCCGCGCTCGGGCCGCCCCTCGCCTCCGCTGCCTCCGGCCTCCGCGCCTGCCTCCGCCGCGCTCCAGCCGCCGGGGGCCTCCCCTGGACACCAAGTTTCTCCTTGTGTTGTGCGTTTGTTGTGCTGACGGCGCTATTATTAATTAAAGTGTCACATGGTGGAGGGGGGCGGGGAGGGCGCGGGGAGGGGGGTTACATCATCCGGCCCCCGGGGGGGGGGCTGCAGGCAGAAGAAACCGAGAGGTAACTTTTAACCCTAGCGGCGCCGGCAGCGAGAGGGCGCGCGCGGGGGAGCGGGGGAGCGGGGGGCGCGGCGCGCTGGGACGGGCCGCGGGCCGGGGGGGTCGCGTGGGACCCCCGCCGAGGCGGAGGGCGCGAGGGAAGGCCTTCTCCTTCCCTTTTTCCTGAATTCAGCTCTGCTTCCGATTTGGCGAGGGAAGCAGGCTTGTTTGCCGTTTTGGATGAAGCTGATAGAGAATTCGGCTGCATTATTCGAAAATACTCCGAGGCTATTGTGTTGTTTGGGGGAGGTGGGTTGACTCCAGAATCTCCCGGGAGAGCCAGATCCAACCCGACTTGCCCACTCTCAGGTCGGACTCGGCACCTACAGGCTTCGCGTCTGAACACACCCGACACGCGCCCCCACCCCGCTCTGGGCTTCCCGGCCAGACCCTAAGGCAACCCCGGCGCCTCGGAGAGCTCGATGGAGGCGGGGTGGGGGGTTGGAGGTCGTCCCCAGCCGCGGGGGCGCGCGCCCGAAAGACCCTCGCGAAGGGCTTTCTGGAAGGAAACTTATTTTTGTGTGCTTCCTTGTGAATATCCTTTTCCAGGGTTACAGTTGGAGACGCGTTTGGAGACGCTGAGGAGCCGACGAGGGGGAGGGGCTCAGGGGACTTTTCGCCTGGAAAGGCTGGAGTCGTCCCTGCTCGCGAAGGTACCGACGGGCGAGGGACGCTCAGGATTTGGGGGCAGATAACGAGCCCTTCTCTGAGCTTGAATTTAATGGGATTCAGATAACTTTGGGATTCAAGAAACTGGAGGAGTGAGAGGTGGCTGCAGGCCAGCTGTCCGGGACCTGATGAGGAAACTTCGATGGTGTCTTTACCCTCTGGCAGAAGGCTGCCAAGGCCCCACCCAGTCCTTTGGTCTCTAGAAAAACATTCTCAAGACTAGGAACATCGTTTGGGTTTGCGTTTGTCCTGCAGAGAGACTTCCCGTGGCCTCCAGCAGGGTCAGGTCCCAGCTCTGCAGTGTGATCTTGGTGGGCCCTGCCCTCAAACAGACTTCTCCTATCTTTAGTAAGGATCAACACTTCCGCTTCTGAGTGCCTTCTGTGCAGCTTCTGGGGCTCAGGTCCCCGCGGGGCTGCCTTAAGTAAATCCCCCAACACTTGAGAGGGGGGAGGTGGGTGCTATTACTATCCTAGTTTACAGATGAAGAAACTGAGGCACAGGGAGGTAAGGCCTCTTGCCCAAGTTCAAAGAGTTAGTGAAGAGTAATCCTGGATCTAAATTAGGGCAGCAATGCTGCAGACTGTAAGCACTTAACCATGGTTTTATACTGCCCCCTGTAATCTGGGAATAATAATACCTCCCTCCCAGGATTGGGGCAGAGATTAAATGAGAGAAATGTATGCCAAGCACCTGGCATGCAGCGGGCCCTGAATAAACCTTGGTTCCCTTTGCTTCTGGCCAGCACCACTTCCTCACTCTCCTGGGACTCACCTCCTTAATCCCCCCTAGTCTTTGCAGAGGGGACCTGATCCACTGCCCGGTGTAGCGTTCCAAGAATGAAGATACAGTGTCTATTTGAAAAGCCCTTTGGATTTAAATTGAACAATTCCCTCCCCCCCCCTTTTTAATCTGCACGCTTTTAACGGCTCACTTCATGGACATTAATTTTAATGGGACGATTATTACCCTGTTTGGAAGCCTGCCCCTTGAAATGCTAGGCTCGCAAGGTGGCGCTGGGTTGGGTCCCAGCCGCTTGGATGTTTTCTGTAGCAAAGAGAGTGCAGCCTTGGCCGTGGGGATGTGTCACTCAGCAGAGGGAAAAGTGAAGGGTGATGGGAAGTTGGAGAAAAGAGAAGACATCCCCCCCTCCGTACTCTACATCTGACAGTCCCTGATTTGCTCATACTGGAGTACTTTGGCCCTATCCCTACCATTCACGAACTGGGGAAGTTGGCCTAGAAATGAGACTTTTTGGAACCTCCACGTTCTCATCTGTAAAGTGGAAATAGTACCTACCTTATGAGAATTAAGTAAGCCTATACTCAGGGACACCTGGGTGGCTCAGTGGTTGAGCATCTGCCTTTGGCTCAGGTCATGATCCTGGGGTCCTGGGATCAAGTCCTGCATCAGGCTCCCCATAGGGAGCCTGCTTCTCCCCCTACCTATGTCTGTGCCTCTCTCTATGTGTCTCTCATGAATAAATAAATAAAATCTTTTTTTTTTAAAAAAAGCTCATACTGGTAAAGCTCTCAGCATGGTGTCCAGTGCATTGTTAGCATTTAATAAATGTGGCTACTATTAAGATTTTAAAGTAGATTATGTAGTCACTAAGCAGTCTGCTTTGGAGAATGTTGCAGGACCTGCACCCTCAATTATATATTATTCCCCTATTGTGAATTGGCTGTTCCGTCACTGACATTAGTATCAATCAGAAAAGGCAAATTCTTTGGGACAGTAACATTACACCCTCCTAACACTTCAGTAAAAATGAGTTTTGGGGGCGCCTAGGTGGCTCAGCCGGTTAGGCATCTGCCTTCTGCTCAGGTCATGATCCCAGGACCCTGGGATCAAGCCCCACCTTGGACTCCCTACTTGAGGGGGGGAGCCTGCTTCTCCCTCTCCCTCTGCCTGTCACTCCCCCTGCTTGTGTGCTGTCAAATAAATAACATCTTTTAAAAAATGAGTTTTTCCTTTAAATGTTCAATTTAATAAACTCTTATATAGTACTTATTTAGTACTTGGTACTGGTCTAAGGCCTTAGACATAATAACTCCATTTACCTTCCTAACAATCCTAGGTAATTGGATGGGTACTATTATTAGTTGGATATTAGGGATGAACAAATGGAAGCAAAATGTTTAAAGAACTTATCCAAGGTCACATCGCTGCCTGGCTCCAGGGTGTGTGCTCATTAGCATTATGTCACCACTGGGCACTTGGGAAGAGGGAGAGAGGCTATTAACGGAATGAATTGTGTCTTCCCCAAAATTCCTATGTGGAAGCCCTAACCTCCAGGACCTCAGGGTGACCATAATGGGACACAAGGCCTTTAAAGAGGTAATTAAGGTTAATTAGGTCATGAGGGTGGGCCCTAATCCAAGAAGCCTTGTGTCCTGATATAAAGAGAGACACCAGGAGTGCTAGGAGGCGGCCATCTGCAAGCCAAGAAGGGAGGCTTCAGGAGAAACCAACCCTGCCAACTCCTTAAGAGTTTTATTATTATCTGAGAAAATAATTTTCTGTTGTTTAAGCCACCCAGTGTTGTGGCACTTTGTTATGGCAGCCCTAGCAGATGAATATAGAGGCAATAGAGGGACAGGGGATGTCCTAAATGGGAAGTTAGAAGCAGATACTTGCCAGACCATGGCCACTTTGACTGGCAGGTATGCACTTGCACCTTTTCCTGGGTTCTTGAGAAGGACTGAGTTCTAGGACCATTTACACGTTCCCTTCTTCCTCTTCCATGTCCTGCTGGAAGTTTTTAAGGGAGGATAGGCTTTAGGGGATGATTCGAGAAATAGTTCATGAAATCAAGTTAGTGCCTTATTCAGAGAAAACTTTCCCTAAAAGATGCAAGGATGTGCAGCCTCTCTCTCATAAAGAAATAAGACAGATTTTTCTCATCCATGAAGGTTTCCTATGGTGTCCCAGTGCTGCACACTGGGCTTAGCACATAACAGATGTTCAGTAAATATTCGTTGAAAGACAGACTCAATGAATGAGTGAGGGACTGAATGAATGGGAAGCATCCTGATTTGTCTTTTTCTCTTTCAAACATACACAATATACAATTATCATCAAGAACATACAAAAATTTCCTGCCCCGATCATTCCCTTCCCTCCTACAGAAATCAATACTCAAGTGTTTTAAGCAGGAGGGGGAGGGGTATTTTTTTCTTTAATTAAAGCAATAATTACCTATCCTGGTGTTTGAGACTGAGTGAGCCTTACCTTATGGTGTTTTAATTCGTGTGGCTTGGTGAAGTGGTAAATGAATGAACAGCTGTTGCCTCCTCCAAACAGCTGTGTTTCCTGAAGCCATGTATTAATGCCAGGGCCAGATTTGATGCCAGGAGTCGGCTTGGTGAACAACAGAGTTCTTGAATCGAAGTCAGAGTTACAGCAGAGTGGTTTGACACTCTGAGCCAGAAAGATCTGAGTTTGAACCCTAGCCCCACCACGAAATAGGTAGGTGCCTTGGGCGTATATCTTTACCTCTCTGAGCCTCCAACTTTCCCATCTGTAAAATAGGAATAGTGATCATAGTATCTACCTCACTGGCTTGCTATGAGGATTAAAAGAATGATCAGTGTTGAGCAAAGTATTTGGCACTCAATAAATATTAGTTATGGTCCTCATTATTCTATTGGGATTATTAAGCATCCACTTAAGAAACAGAACTGGGACCCTGACCCAAACCCACTGGGAAAACGAGAGGACTCAGATTTCAGTTGAGTCCAATATTCAATTACATCACAGTTATTCCCAGGAAAGTTCCCTCCATTCAATAGACCCAGAGTAGGACAGCTCTCATCTCTCACATTTATCCTTTTTCACCCTCTGATACCTGAAAAAATAGGGTAACTCTTTCTCCAGGGATCTCCTAATTATTCATTTGATACCTCTCCCTTAAGGGTCTTTTTGTTGTAAGTAAAGAGGAAACAGCAAACGAATGTCCACAGCAGGGGGAGAAAAAAATTAACCAGCCCATAATTATAGTCTCATCAATACTTTAAGTGTAAATGGT